TATTTTATTTTATTTTATTTTATTTTATTTTATTTTATTTTATTTTATTTTATATATTCATAACATTATATAAAAGTAATTATCTCAAGATACTGGCTAAGTATGATCAAAGTAAAAATATTTATACAACTAACATATCAAATATGTAATATGGTAATACAAAGATTTCTTATAATAATATGTGCGCTGAATTTAGACATTTAAAAATTCTAGTAAAATTAAAATGTTGCTAGCAAAGCTACACACACTTAAGAGCATCATCCCTAGCTGCTAGTTTCAATCCGTTCAAGAATCAATCAAACCCTATTTATGCGCCCGCCACGTTTCATCATAAAAATTCAGCTCTAAATTTCGATTATAATGTTTAAATGTGAAATTTGAAATTCCCCATTTCTTTGGCATTTGCTAATTGAGTTGTTGTTTCACTTGTAGCCTGTCACGAGTGTGTGGTGTGTGAGTGTGTGTGTGTGTGTGTGTGTGAGTGGTGTGCATTTGCAGCGCTTGAGTGTCACGGTGATCAAAGCCAAAGGGAGGGCGGGGAGTATTCCGAGGCAGGTTAGATGTGTTACAAGTCGACTTTGACTTGGCGAGGCTGGGGGCGGGGGCGGTAGGGCGCGGCCGACGGGCTATGACAGGCGCAAAAAAGTTAAACATGCACAAAGCGAGCGACTTGGGAAAGTTTTTAACTGGCTGTAAGTAGGAAATGAATGCGAGTTGCGAGGCTTATGCCGCATAACTCGTACATATTGCAAAATGTGTTAAGTTAAGGCTGAGGGAGAAAGGGAGGAGGAGAGAGAGAGGGAGAGGTAGAGCTAAAGTGAGGCAGTCAGTTTGACAGCGCGTAGCCAATATAATAATGCCGCTTGGCTTCGCACAGAGCCTCTGCCATGCCTTGGCTCGGCTCGGCTTGGCTCTGCTCTTTTCGCATGCATATTTTAGGAAATGAATTGCAAGCCTGTGCAAGATAAAGGCGGCAGCGTCTCAGCGTTACAGCGTTACAGCGTCTCGCAGCGCGCGAATCGATAACTGTCAAAAAATAAGCCGGCAAGCAACACGCAAGACGAGGGCAGATTCAGAAGTCGCGAGGCGGCACACAATTTAAATATTAATGGAGCTGCGCAAGAGGCGCTCCGGCACAGGCAAAGCCACAGCCACAGCCACAGCCGCAGCCATAGTCGGAGCACACGGCATAGCCAAAAAACCGTAACCGTAAAACTCAAACCGTAAACCGAGTAACTGCAACGGCAGCTGCTGCTGCAGCAGGATTGGCTGGGAAACGCATTTCCTGCATATGTCAGGAAAATGAAAATGTCGAAGCAGAGAGAAGCTAAAGCGAAAACTATGCTCATGTTTTTTTTTTTTTTTCTTGGGGGCCAGATCGATTGGTAAAAGGCAGAGCTGTAGGAGCAGGCGTCGTGCGGAAGGCGAAGGGGAAGGAGCACAATTTATTTTGTTTTATTTTGACTTGATTTTTGACAATTTTATACAACAAATTTTTAACAGAAAAAAAAAAACGAAATAAAACTTTGAAGGCAATTATGAATTATTGAAGCCTGTCAAAGTGAAACAGCTCCATTACCAGCAACAACAACAAGAACAAGAACGATAACTATATAGAAATAAATGTCGATGTGGGTTAAAAGTTGTGACAGCTATGATTACATGATGATTGCATCAGCTAAAACTCTTGAACGAAAACAAGGGGATAATGTATTGAAAAACAAAAATTAGAAACTACAGGAATGAAAGGAGAGAGTGAGAGAGGGAGAGTGTGAGAGAGATGGTTAAAGTTATAGATGAAATAATAGAGAAGAAGCCAGAGGGAAAAACAAATAAATATAAATATCAAGCTGAGTGGCTAAAGAAACATGTTAATAGGATGCATAGATAGCAAAATGAAGAAATAAATAAATGGATGAATATATATTTAGGTGAGGTATGAACAGATAAAAGGATAGATAAAGAGATAATTTACATTGAGAAATAGAAGCCAAACTAAAAATCAATAAATATTTGTTGTCTTTGGATTTTTTATTCTGAAAGCAGTAATTCGAATCAAATTAAATAATGACATAGAACTAAATAATAAAATATTTAATGGAATCAAGATATAGTTAATATTAAATATAATATATAGTAATATATATTTAATAAAATATTAAATATTAAAAATATAAATAATAAAAGATGTATGTGGTTAAAAAGATATAGGTAATATTAATTATAGTATATAATAATAATTATTCAATAAAATATTAAATATTAAAAATATAAATAATAAATAAATATATTAAAAAATGCCTTAGGCTATATTTTTTAAACAAATTTACATAAATAAAAAAAAAACAACAAATATAAAAAAACAACAAATACAAAAAAATAAAAAATTTATAAAAAATGTCATGAATTAATTACATTATTACTTAAATACATATAAATAAAAGAACATTTTTGTTTGTTAAACTGCTTATATTATAAAAGTAACTGTAATTAAATAAATATAGTAGTAACTGATCCTGTTTTTTTTTTATATATATATATTTTTTAAGTGTTGAATCTGTACAATGCAAGTATAGTACCTTAACAACATAGTTAGATTATATTATAAAGAACATAACCTTCTGATATGCTTAAATTATTCAATTAATATTAATTATAATAAATATTAATAAACAACTGACAACAAATTAAATTTTAATTTAAAAAAACTGTTGTCAAACTAATTATAATTAATACATTTCTATAATGAAAGAAAAATCAATAATAATAATATAAAAAAATTTGTTTTTCACTAAACTGCATTCACATTTTCTTATATGTGCCACAACTCAAGCTAAGATATATGTACATATATGTAAATAAATTGTAAATACTTTTAATTACACGCAGTTGGCTCTAATGAGCATTAGAGCTCAAATGCTGTAAGTTAATTATGATATCAAATCATTTTGTTCACTCAATCTTTGATGATTCATGGCACTCGCCCTCCCCAGCTCCTTTAGGGCGTCCTCCCTTCGCCCCTCCCCCACTTTCTAATTGGTTTTCCTTTATTGTCGCAGAGAAACACACGAGTTGTGCGAAATTTAATCAGAAAGCAATTCACGCACGCCTCTGCCACTCGTCCAACCTAATGAAGCAGAGGTCGCAAAACAAAAATGTTGAAGTTCTTCCCAAAATGTGTGTGCGTGTGTCTATGTGTGTGTGTGTGTGGCAAAGCAATGTCAAAACGTCAGTCGGCAAATACTTTGTAGCTATGTTGTGTAACACCATGGAGCTCCGTTGTCAAGCCAAGTGTAAAAGTGGCTCAAAACTCGACGAGCCCAGCCTTGGCCCCGAGCCTCCTCCCCCTCCTCAAGCACCACGTGGCTGTGGCAGCGTCCACTCGAGTGTGCAATTAGGTGAAAGTAAATGGTTTAACAAACGCCTCGAAGTATGCAATCATTTAAATTTCACTTCATTTGTCCTTTTCATGAATGCCCTCCTGCTCCTAATCCGCCTCCTGCGCCGCCTGCTGCGCATTCCTAGACACCAAATTACAGAACCAAACAAAATTATTTTGATTTATATGCAAGGCGAGGACTCGCCCTGGACCCCATGCCCATTGCCCAGGGCCCGCCCACCTGCCTGTCAGCGTCTTGTTTTCTTTACGTTTTTACGTTTCTCTCTCCTTCTGCGTTTATTTGTGTTCTTTTCCTGCTATTTCTGTTTTTTTTTTTTTTTTGCCTACCCTCGACTGTCAATAGATTTGGCCCAAACTAAATGCTTTGATTCGCTGTGGACACGAGCGAATTTGAAATGCAAATTTAATTTGAGACGCGACGCTGGCTTTCTTTCACCCCAAAGCTGTTGCTCGAGCAGCGTGGGCTGCTCACATTAATTGCCCACATTCCTCAGCAGCTCCTGCTACTCCTGCTGCTCCTGCTGCTGCTGCTGCTGCTCTATTCAAGTCGCTTCGCGTTTTGCCTGTTAATTTTGCGCCACATCAGCAACAGCAACTTTGGCTTTTCCATTCCGATTTTCCATTTCCATTTCGATTTGTGCCGTGTGCATAAAATTTTACGCTGACTAACCGAAACTAAATCGGCAATGCAGGCAGTGCGAGTTGGCTGCTGCCCTCCTTGGGCTGAGTGTTTTCTGGCCTGATTGAAATGTTGCCAACTATTGCGAAAACTACTCACAAAACTTTATTGGCAAATTGATGAAGTGCTCATGTGTGCGTGTGTGTGTGTGTGCGGCACCTTGCTTTGGCTAGGCTGCAAAACAATTTCTAGTCAAGTTGCCTACACTT